ACAATTGTCACACTTGCATCATTATGTACTGGAGTGTGATCAATTATGAATTAAGAGACAACCTCACTCAAAATTTCAAGAAATGGTAAAGTATTTTATCCACAGGGTATATTACAGTCCATTCTGAGAAATCCCTGGACTTTGCTAGCTTAAATAATGCATTACCGTGTGTGTGTGTGTGTGTTGTGTGTTGTGTGTGTGTTGTGTGTGTTGAGTGGTGGTGTGTGTGGGGGTTGTGTGTGTGTGTGTGTGTGTGTTGTGTGTGTGTGTTGGTGAGTGTTGTTTGTGTGTGTGTTGGTGGTGTGTGTGTGGTGGTTGGGGTGTTTGAGTGTGTGTGTTTGTGTGGTTTTGGTGGCTTTGTGGTGTGGTGTACTCACCTATTAGTTGCGGTCGAGTCCGAGCTCCAGGCCCCCGCCTCTTTCACGGTTCGCTACTAGTCACTCAACTCACCCTGAGCGAGAGCTACATCATAAACCTCTGCTTAAAGCTATGTATGGAATCCTCTCCACTACATCGCTTCCCAAAACTATTCACTTACTGACTACCTGTGGCTGAAGAAATCTTCCTAACAACCCTGGATTCTCTGTTCTCACTTCCAACTTGTCCCCGTTTACTCATGTTCCATCCTGGAACATTCCTGTCTTTGTCCTCATTGTCTATTCCTCCACTCAATTATGGTAATTCGTTATCAATTCCCCCCCTATCGCTCCTGCCTCCAGGGTCGGCAGTTGATTGCCCTTAACCTCTCCTCATAGGACATACTCTCGTAGCGCTGGGACGAGTCTTGTTCAAACTTTGCACTTTCTCTAGTTACTTTACATGCTTGGCTAGGTGTGTTCCAAACTGGTGCCTCATACACCCAATTATGGGCCTAACGTACCCTGTAACAGGGTCCTGAATGATTCCTTATTAAGATGTCGAATGCGGTTCTGAGGTGTGCTACCCCATATGCTGCAGCAGTTTATTGTGATGTCGCTCAGATATGTGCCTATGTATACTCCCTCCCAAATCTTTTTCCATGATGAGGTTTTGTAGTCACTGGGCCCCCTAACAGTACTCTGTCGTGGAATTCTTGCCCTCCCCAATCTTCATGACTTTGCACTTAGTGGGATTGAAACTCCAGGAGCCAATTGCAGGAACCAGTCTCACCTGCCAGATCCCCTTTGTATTTCTGCTGTCTTCGATCGAGTTAATTCTTCAGCATCAACTTCACATCGGTCTCACACAGGGACACCTCAAGGCTATTCATCCTGCCATGGTCGTTCACAAATACCAGAAACTGCACTGTCCTAGGACTGACACCCTGTGGACCCCGCTTGTCACAGGTGCCCACTCTGACACCTCGCCCACCATACTCGCTGCTGTCTTCCTACAAGTATTCCCTGATCCATTGTAGTGCCTTCCCTGGTATCCTCAGCGTGTCCTCCATTTTTGCAACCAATCTTCTTGTGGGAACTGTGTCAAACGCCTTCCTTGCAGTCCAAGAAAAATGCAATCCACCACACCCTCCTCTCTTGTCTTACTGCTGTCACCATCGCATAGAACTCCAGTAGTTTGTGACACAGGATATTCCCGTCCCTGAAACCATGTTGCTGCTGTGATAATTCGTTCCTTGTCTAGTTTCCACCACTCTTTCTCCTAAAATCTTATCCTTAGTTGCATACTATACATGTCATGACACTGGTCTTTATTTTTAATGCTTCATGTCTGCTCCTTATTTAAAGAATTGGACTACAATTGCTGTCTTCCATCCTCAGGCAATCTCCCTGTTTCGATTAGATTTATTGAATATTGGTGTTAGGTAACACAGTCCTCCTCTCCCTCTCTCAATACCCACTGGGGAGATGATATCTGCCCCATTGCCTTTGAGGTATCTGCCTCACTCCAAGCCTCTTCACTCTTCCTCAGTTTGTGTGCACTGTGTCCCCGCACAGGTGGTGTGCCCCACCCTCCGCTTTCTGGACTCCTTTCGTCTCCTCTGTGAACACTTCATTGAATCTCTTGTTGGTCTTCACATACTTCCGGTCATTTTCTGTTGTCTCTCTCCTTTCCTTCCTTACCTGATTACCTGTCCTTGACTGTTGTTTTCCCCTCCTGATGGTTGACAAAATTTTCGTCCAATTTGGCTTTCGCTGGCTATGGTCATTTTCATTATTGTCTTTGGGGCCTCCCTCCTATCGTCATATTCGTTTCTGGCTCTACAACTCTCTCCTATTCTCCTGACCTTTGCCTTCCTATATTCTTCATCCCTAGCACACTTGTTTTTTGCCTCCCTGCACCTTGGGTAAACCATGGGCTTCACCTGGCTTTTTTCATTAGTCCTGTTACCCTTGGGTACAAACCTCTCCTCAGCCTCCTTTGCATTTTTGTTCCTACATATTCCATCTCTCACTAACAGGCTTCCTGCCATTCTCTGTCACACGGAACCCCGTTCAGGAAGTTTTCCTCATCCTGTGTATCCCCTTTCTGTATTTGGCTTTCATTTCAACCTGTGTTGTGGTGTGTGTGTGTGTGTGTGTGTGTGTGTGTTGTGTGTGTGTGTGTGTGTGTGGTGTTTGGGTGGTGTTTTTGTGTTTGTGGTGTGTGTAAGCATGCATACCACCAAATTTACTCACCTAATTGTGGTTGCAGGTCAAATCACGCCTGGCCCCCTCTTCACTATCCTACGGATCCTCTATCTCTCTGCTTCTGATCGTTGACATACCTCTTCTTAAACTATGTATGTTCCTGCCTCCCTACCTCACTTGCTAGGCTATTCCACTTGCTGAGCACTCTATGACTGAAGAAATACTTCCTAACGTCCCTGGACTCGTCTGACTTCAGCTTCCAGTTGTGCACCCTTGTTCCCTGTGTCCGCGCTCTGGAACATCCTATCTCTGTACCACTTGTTCTATTCCCCGCAGTATCTGTATGTCGTTATCTTGTCTCACCCTGAACCTTCTGTCCTCCATGTCGTCCATCCTGATTTCCTTTAAACCTTTCCTCGTACACTTTCCCTTGAGCTCTGGACACCTTGTTGCAAACCTTTACTTTCTCTAACTTCTTTACGTGCTTGACAGGTGTTGGTTCAGACTGGTGCTGCTTACTCAAGTATGCCAACATACTCATGTAACAGTGTCTTGAACGATTCCTTATTAAGGTATCGGACCTATTTCTCCGTATGCCTAGGCGCCCATATGCTGCAGCGGTTATTTTGTTGATGTGTGCCTCCGTATGTCTCGTGTTATGGCACCCCAATGTCTTTTCTTCCTCCTGATAGGTCGTAAGTCTTTGCCACCTAGCTATACTCTTCTGCGTCTCTTTGCCCTCCCCAATCTCATGGACTTTGGCATTGCTGGATTGAATTCAAGAAGCCAGTGCTGGACCACAATCCAGCCTGTCCAGGTCCTCGCTGCAAGTCGCTGCTCATCTCGTTCCGATTTAATTCTTCTCATCAACTGCACGTCAATCTGCGAACAGGACACTTCAAGTCTCTTTCCTCACATGTCGTTCACATATATCAAAAATAGCACTGTCCTAGAACACCCCTGTGGGACCCCCCCCGCCGGAACAGGCGCCACTGTGATTCCATTCACGTACCATGACTCTTGTCGCCATCCCTGTCAGTATTCTCTTACCATTCAGTGCCCTCCCTTTACTGCGCACGGATCCACGCAGCTTCTCATTAATCCTTGTGGGGAACTGTGTCAGAAGGCCAATCCTGCAAGTTCAAGGAAAAAGCATCACCCACCCCCCCTCTCCTCTCGTGTCTTATCTGTTACCTTGTCATAAAACTCCAGAGGTTTGTGATACAAGATTTTGCCTTCCAAGAACCCATGCAGGTTTTCATTTTATAATCCTTGTCCCTTTACACGTGTTTCGCGACCACTCTCCTCCCCTATAATCCTCTCCATATTTGCAACACAATACATGTCAGAGACACATGTCTTAGTTTATTGGCCTTGTTTCAGTTTCCATTCTAAATATGGGACTAAAAAAAAAAAAAAAAAAAAAAAAAAACAATTGTTTGTATCGTGTGTGTGCGCGTGCCGGCTGTTGTGTGGGTGTGCGTACTTGTGTGTATGCATATATTTGTACGCTCGTGTGCAAAATCAGTGCGAGCGCCCTCGTGTTTTGTATGGTGTGCCCCGCACGCTCGTGTGGTGTAATGACCCACTAATATTTTGTAATTTATAACTCATTACAATGTGACCAGTGTGAGACGTAAATCAGTGTTCATTGCTTTTGTATTTTGTTCCATGACTGAACCATGTATAGGAGTGAGGCTGATTCATTAACTTCGTAACTTGCCATGATTGTGACCACATCTACCTGGAGTTCATTACCTTTGTAAGTAGTTCAGCTATCATAACTTTGGGGTCCAGTCCCTGGACCCATTATGTACCTTTGTAATCTTTTGACTACCGCCCACAGGATGGGTATGGGGTGCATAATAAAGATATTAAACTTAAACTAAACTTAATAATCCCAAATAAAGCCCTCTTCTAAAAGGATAAAGTTATACATAATAGTGACCCCAGAACCTTCCCAGAGCCTTCCTAAATTGTGGAAAAGATAATGCAACTCTTTTTCAAATATAATATCTACTAAGTAACAAAATATATCAATATCTCATGCAATGTTTCAGATCATCAATACAAAGTGAAGACTACCCAAGAAATTCCTCTTGTACAGTAGATTATTCATGAAGTGTACAGTACTGTGTGTTAAAATACAGGGGTTCTCTGAATTACAACAAGTTCTTATGTAAACCTTATTATGATTAGTTGCCTGAAATGCACTGCATCATGTCCATAGATTCGAGCACCAGGAATGCATTTTGTCTATAGGATCTAACATCAGAAATGCATCTCATCTATGGTCTCAAACACCAGGAATGCTTCTTGTCCATTAGTTGGGAACCTTAATATGCTTCTTTATTCACATCTAATACCTTTTTCATTATATTTAAATATGTATTTGCTCAAAGAGGGCTTTGCTAACAAAAGAAAGAAGCTTACCTCATTCCTAGCTGCTTCATTAGTACAACAGCCACTAAGGATGCTCAAAGCTCCATTAAGAATGTCTTCATTTGGCCGCTGAACAAGTTTCAGTGCTTGAGGAACTAAACCAAAACTCCTGTATAAGACAAAAATCACAAACTGCAATGAAATAGGGGAGTTCGTGCTTTGTATTAGTCATATACAATAATTTGTCAAATGATATTAAGCATATTTACACACAAAACTAATTATGGCTCATTCATGAACGATTATTACCCAGTTATTAACGTCAACACTTCTAAAATGATGGACCTTTTGAATGATCAATCTACATACGAACCCATCAGCACTCAACAGTGGGAGACGCTCACCAAAGAATTTCTATACAAAACCAGACAAATACTCAAATGCACTAGAGAAGGGAAGAAACTTCTGTACTTGTTACCAAGCAACCCTAAACCAGCACACATGTATGGTTTACCCAAGACCCATAAACATAATATTCCTCTCAGACCAATTACGTCAGGAATAGGCAGTGCTCCACACAAACTAGCCGGAGTTCTTGCCAAACATCTTTCCTGCCTTCTGGGAACCATCAGCCCCGCTAAATCTAAACACTCAGGTGACCTTCTCAACCGCATCCGTAACCTCTCCATCCGTAACAAGAAACTAAGCAGTTTGGATTGACTTCCCCCCTTCACAAAGTACCTACCAAAAAGCCATCGAGGTTCTACGACGTAAAGTCAATCGGGACCTTAATCTTCCTCTACCTCCCGGAGATTTTGTTGACTTAATTGAACCTGTGTTAATTTCAACTTTTTTTTCTTTCAATAACAACTCTACAAACAAACCTAGGGCATGGGAAGGGGGTCCCCCATAAGTCCCGTCCTAGCCAACTATACATGGAACACCTAGAGTCCGAACACTTCGCCAACATCATCCCTTCAAGCGTCACTTGGTTACGTTCGTGGACAATGTCCTCGTAATAACTCCAAAACTTTTTTGATGTAGGGGATCTTCAGGCAAGGCTCAACGCAGTTGAACCAGCGATCCAGTTTACCTAGAAGAAGAGTCCAATGACAAGCTACCTTTCCTCGACGCCTCATTCACAAAGTAGACAACAACCTAAGATTTCAAGTTTATCGGAAACCCACAATAAAAAGATCTCACACACTTCTATTCCAGTCAAGATACCAAGACCAAAAGAGGCATCATCATCGGGTTTTTCCTAAGAGCATACCGAATTGTAGTCCTGAGTTTCTTTACGAGGAGTGTACATACATTCACCAAACATTCACAGAGTTACATTTTCCTTCTTTTTTCATCAAAGACTGCAAGAAAAGAGCTTCTTCAGATCATAAATTCTCCACGCATCAACACCACTCCAGCAAAGTTATAATTCTTCCCCAACAGTCAGGTTGCACTGAACGTCTCAAAAGTATTTTCACAAGCTAACAAAAGAGTCGCCATCGCTTCTAGCACTTCATAAAGGATATAACCAGGACAAAATCCAAGCACCACGAAACCCGTCAATGCAGGAGTTTTCCCTATACCCTTGGAGGCTGTGGGCAAGGTTTACGTAGGTGAAACAGCCAGAAACCTCGACACCCGCCTCAATGAACACATTTACGCATGTAGGAAAAGATAACTTGAACTACGCCTGGTACAACACCGAAATTCCACCAATCATCTCAAAGAAATTCAGAGACGCCCAATTAGTGATCAAAGAAACTAATTTCCGCAGACGCAAGTGCCTCGAATCAGCACTGATCGCTGTTTCGAATACAATTAAACAAAACAACGGCAGCTTCACCATCTCCGAAGTCTTAGCAAGAATCCTCCTGAAAACAGTAAACCCTGCCATCACATAGTCTCTCCTGTTATACTACACACAGCACAGAGAGTGAACACTGAAACAAGCTGCCTCATTCCAGTCTATATTTGTCCAACCTATTTTTATGTTACCCAAGTAATAGCTTTTATATCCTTTTACTCATGTACGAATTAATTGCTCTACCATATTGTATTACTTTTGTCACTACCACTACTACTACTACTACCACTAGTGAACATCAAAATGGTACCTCACTAGTATTACACCTCACTCTGAGCCTTTATATACCCTCTGTGTCCATGTATTGTTTGTAATGGCTTGATAAAGCTCCTGGAGAGCGAAACGTTGCCACAATAAATGTCACATTAGTTGCACTTGTGTCCTTTTACTTTACAACACTTCTTCACCTTACAATAAATGTTAAAACATTTAAATAGTGTGCTTATATTCCAGCTGTTAGAAAACAATTGATAGTGTGTGTAGGAAGTGGCATCTCCAGAATATTTTATATAGGAGGCTAAGGGGTATGGCAATCTGGTTGCAAAGGGTAACTTAAGAGCTTGTCTCAAAGTAGCATCATTATTATCCTTATTTTATATCAGGTGGTCTTTGAGGGGCTGGAGATTATGTGGAGGAGGGTGGAGGGTCTTCAGCCCTATCTTGGTGCCAACACTGGTGAAGAGTACTGGAGATCAAACTACAGTCCTTGCAACTGCAATCCAGAACTATACCAGTTTGGCCACCAAGCATACAAACAACTTGTTCACAAGAAGCCCCAACTTTTGCTGAGCACAGCACTTCTTACACACACTGTTATTTTCACAGAATGGTGAGATTCTCATTTCATTTCATTGGTGCTTTATTAATGTATAAGCAACTCCTATTCTAATTCATAAATTCTCTATCAACAGTGGCACACAAGAGGTTTAATTACTATACCAGAATTCTGAAAGAGCATTTGACTGCTACAGAAAATACAGTAGCTAGGAATGCTGTTTGTCTCAAGTTATTCGAGACTATAGGTAATTATGTGGAGAGCGACACACACACCACTCAGGTCAGGGACCAGCTTTCCACCTCAACTTTTTTATGCCAAGATTCCATTACTTCAAATACTAAAAATGGAGGGTTACCTGTGGAATGTTTAGGAAGTACTGTAATACAAAGTTTCTCTTATACGATTCAATATGTTGAATGCATTTTTAATACACCAATTTTTTAAATTTATTACCTAGAGTTTGCCTGGAGAGTGTTCCGGGGGCCAACGCCCCTGCGGCCCGGTCTGTGACCAGGCTTCATGGTGGATCAGGGCCTGATCAACCAGGCTGTTACTGCTGGCTGCACGCAATCCAACGTACGAACCACAGCCCGGCTGGTCAGGTACCGACTTAAGGTGCTCGTCCAGTGCCTGCTTGAAGACAGCCAGGGGTCTATTAGTAATCCTCCTTATGTATGCTGGGAGGCAGTTGAAAAGTCTTGGGCCCCTGGCACTTATTGTGTTGTCTTTTAACATGCTAGTGACACCCCCTCCTTTTCATTGGGGGGATGTTGCATCGTCTGTGGAGTCTTCTGCTTTCGTAGGGAGTGATTTTCGTGTGCAAGTTTGGTACTAGTCCCTCTAGGATTTTCCAGGTGTATATAATCATATACAAGTACCATCCGACTTACGACCGAGTTCGGTTCCGACAAACCGGTCATAAGTCGAAATGGACGTAAGTTGAACCTTACTACTGAATATCAACATCACATTTTTAATGTGATGTGATGACTATTTTATTGTTTAATTTTGGTATTTCATTTTCTACTTTACTTTTATGCTGTTAGTACTGTGTTTTATACTGTAAGGTTTAGGATAAACACTGTGTACAACACAAACACTTGTTTATTTCCCAGAAATTTGGCATAGAAAACATGGTTGTAAGTCAAATGGTCGTATGTCGAGCAGGTCTTAAGTCGGATGGTAGGTGTATCTCTCCCGCCTGCATTCCAGGGAGTACAGGTTCAGGAACTTCAAGCGCTCCCAGTAACTGAGGTGTTTTATCTCAGTTATGCGCACCGTGAAGGTTTTCTGTACATTTTCTAGGTCAGCAATTTCACCTGCCTTGAAAGGTACTGTTAGTGTGCAGCAATATTCCAGCCTATATAGAACAAGCGACCTGAAGTGTCATCATGGGCTTCGCATCCCTACTTCTGAAGGTTCTCATTATCCATCCTGTCATTTTTCTAGCAGATGCGATTAATACAATGTTATGGTCCTTGAAGGTGAGATCCTCCGACATGATGACTGAACAGTATAATATAGTTGTTCATAGTCATTACACTTTTCATGTTTTTGCATATTATTTTGTGGTAATAGATTATTTTTTTATTAATATGTATTGTACAGTGGACCCTCGCATAATGCTATTAATCCGTTCCTGCGAATGAATTTTCCCCATAAGAAATAATGGAAATCAAATTAATCCGTTCCTGACACCCAAAAGTATGAAAAAAAAAATTTTTTACCACATGAAATATTAATTTTAACACACACAAACTGAAGAAGACATGCACAGTTACATGACACTTACCTTTATTGAAGATCTGGTGATGATTGATGGGATGGGAGGAGGGGAGAGTGTTGATGGTCTTAGTGTTTAGAAGGGGAATCCCCTTCCATTAAGACTTGAGGTGTCAAGTCCTTTTCTGGGGTTACTTCCCTTCTTCTTTTAATGCCACTAGGACCAGCTTCAGAGTCACTGGACTTCTGTCGCACAACATATCTGTCCATAGAGGTCTGTACCTCTCGTTCCTTTATGACTTCCCTAAAGTGCTTCACAACATTGTCAGTGTAATAGTCACCAGCATGGCTTGCATCAGTTGTCTGAGGGTGATTTTCATCCATGAAGGTTTGCACTTTAAGCCACAATACACAGATTTCCTTAATCTTTGAAGTAGGCAACTTCTTCAATTTCTCTCTCCCCTCCTCCGAAGCAGTTTCCTCAGGTGTGGCCTCATGCCGATGAAGATGATCTAGCAGCTCATCAGTGGTTAGTTCTTCATTGTCCTCCTCCACCAACTCTTCCACATCATCCCCACTAACCTCCAACCCCAAGGACTTTCCCAATGCCACAATGGATTCCTCAACTGGCATAGGATTCCCAGGGTTAGACTCAAACCCTTCAAAATCCCTTTGGTCTACACATTCTGGCCACAGTTTCTTCCAAGCAGAGTTAAAGGGTCCTCTTAGTCACTCCCTCCCAAGCTTACCTATAAGGTTTACACAATTGAAAGATTTTAAAAGTGATCTCTCCAAAACTCTC